GCATTATGGGATATGCTGGGCCGGGAAGGATCCATCGGACCAGTCCTTCGATTCGGGCCAAAGGAAGGACGTATTTGTCGGACGCATCGGAGGAGTCTTCCGTTTTGGAYGTCCTTCGTCGCGGCGCTGTGACGTATGCGGCCGACAAATTCGACCTTCGGAGGACCCGGCCTGCCGTTTTGGACACAGCCACTGACTCCACTGCTTTTCAATAAACTATCAACAGTGTTTTCAGTGTTCCTGCCAAGTTCTCATCATTCTTTCTTAATTTGACCTAACCTTACCTTTAGGAAGGTTGTACAAACAAAGGCCTGCTGTTTGTTGATGGGGGCGGTACAAAAGACGTAGCGTGACATCAGGTTAAGCGGTATATGTTGAATCATATCTGCTAGAAACTTGAAGTCTTCAACGTTGCAGACAAAATAGAGACCATCAACAAGAGAGAGGCTGACGAATATGTCCTGAATAATAAAATAAATAAAAAGCAGAAAGAAATACATGACTACTAGAATTTTACATACACTTGAACTTTAATATTGTGTCTGTCTAATATACTAAACCAATTTCCCCTGCACTTTTCAAGTTGTTTTAATGATGACAACAATTAGCATCAAGTGTTAGTTAAGATATGTAAAACAATTCCTCTTTGCTATTAAAAACAAATAAGTAAAATGCACCAGTTTATCTTCCTTGATCTATTAACATAATCAGAAATTTAAACAATATAAAATACAATTACTCTTTATTTTTAAACCTTTAACATTTATTTAAACTGCTCATTACTAAGAAAAAGTTGCTTTGCGCCTTAATGTAAAAGGTAACAGCACATAAGGAAAAAAAAAACAAACAAAAATTAGCAGGTAGTGCTGCTCTAAATCTTAAATGACATCCAAGTTTTAACCTTTACTGATTTCATTATATTCAACATAAAAATCCACCACACAAAGATCATGGTTTAAGGTCCAGTGAGAACAATGCCATCTAGTGACAAAAACAGCAAATTACAACCAAATAAAAACCCTTCAAAAACAAAACAATAATGATAATCCATAAACACAAAATCACAAAAGTTCTGCTCAGGTGCAAGTTAAGTTTTCTTCACTGTCATATTGTTTATTTTACAACTCAATAACCTTTTTCACTCACTGCAGAGACATTAAATGAACAATGCTTTTACTCACAACTAGGTTGGAGAGAGTCGCATCAGGCAGATGATAAGCAAACATCTCGAGTTGCTCTGGAGTTGGATGGAGCCCTGCGGTCTGAGACAAACAAGGACAGCAAACATTTGTTTGGAGTGTGAAATAAAAGTGAACTTTCATGTTTTATATATTACTTTGTGTGTAATATGATCACCATTATAGGCTCTACGGAGTAGCTGAGGAGATTCTTCAGAATAGGGATGTCACTTTGGTACATAGTCGTGACTTCTCCTTCTTTAAATTTGGAAGAAAACCTGCAGAGAAGGCAGGTTGAAAATATCAGGCTTATACAAAGAGCTTGTTTTCACAGGTTTTCTTCAACCTTCGATCCTCTGAAATAAGAAGTTGAGACAGAGAAGACACTGACCTTCCTGCTCGGCCTGCAATCTGCAGAGCTTGTGATGTGCTTATGAGCTCCATCTTTTTCTCTCCTTTCTCATTAAAGCTGGGCTTCGTCAAAGAGTTAAAAATGATACGTTTTATACTCCTGAAAAGAGAGGGAAAATGGGAAGAAGACACTGGTGTGAGCTGAGATATGTCATGTCTTCACTATAATATCCAAAAATGTAATTTTGTTTGTGTAACAATAAAAGTTTAAACAGTTGTGACATTAGTTCTGCAGATGATGCTTACAGGTTGAGGCCCATGCCAATAGCATCTGTAGCAACCAGTATCTTACAGGGGTCATCAGGGTCATTGAACTTCCTGGCTTGTGACAGCTTAGTGCCTGAAATTCATATTTAAATCAAAAATGAAGACTTAAATACATTTTTATATACAATTTAAAATATTTTATTTATTTATCCCTTCACAYCCTTATCACAATAAATAAAACAGGAATCACTAGACTGATTATTAGTGGGTGGTTGTTTACGCCCATTAATGTATTTTTAGAACCAAGTTTGAGCTGAAAAGCAAAGAAAGTCAGATTCTGAACTTTTTGTAAGTAAATAACCTACACAACTCTTCAAACCTTAAGGACTCACTGTTCTTTCAGTTCTGAAATAAATGCCTTGCAGATCACAATAAAACAAAAAGTGCAGACTGACAAGTCTTCGGAGAAAAGCAGTTTTATGTGAGAAGCAGATACAGTTATGCTCCCTCTTAATTATTTATCTAAACCTTTATTTAAAATGGAAATGGTAAATGGCTTGAACTTATAAAGCACCTTATCAAGTCCATGTGGACCCCAAAGCACTTTACACTTCACCCATTCATACACCCATTCACACACTGATACTAAGCTACACTGTAGCCACAGCTGCCCTGGGGCAGACTGACAGAGGTGGGGCTACCATGCTCCAGCGCCAGCGGACCCTCTGACCACCAATCAGTAGGCAAGCAGGTGAAGTGTCTTGCCCAAGAACACAATGACTGAGATGGCTGGAACGGGGGATCGAACCAGCAACCTGACGATTACGGGACGACTCCCCTAATCACTCCGTCACAGCTGCCCAAGTTATTAAAAAATAAAATAAAATAAAAAAACTACTGGGACTATGTAGATACGTATGATTTACAAAATTTTTAAACTTTTTATACAAAAATTTAAACTTTCAAGAGAAAACTTTTAAAATAGTCCTTTTTAGTACCTTTTTAAAGGATGTCCAGTCATTTTACTGACTCTTGTAAAAATCCCCCCATAAACTCCAAATACACTCACCTGGAGGTAAGCTGCCGTATATCACAGCACATTCTAGTCCTTTGGCCTCAATCTGTCTGCTCAAAAAGTAAATGTCATTTTTACTGAAGCACACGATGCAGTCTCCTGGTCTTAGGTTATCTGTTGATTGCAAAGCCTTATCCGAGATAGAGAGGGGAGTTAAGCGTTCGTAGTTGTGAACCTGAGGACAAAGAAGAGACATTAGGAGGTCTGCAGCGATATTCTATAGAGAAAAGTTTAAAATATGCTCGGGACTCGTCTTCCTGCAGTGCAGTGCGCTCAGCCTCACCTCCACCTCCTCTCCAGTGGTGTACATCAACTCTTTGATGAAGTCTACAGCTGCAGGTTCCCCACACACGTGGATCTCCTCGGCACACAGACCTACACAAACATGCAGGTGAGTGAAGCTTGAAGAGGTTGGACTCGCGTTACGCGAGATAAAAATCTGTGCTACAAACCCAGCAGTGCTCTGGTCCAYGCCCAGCCTCTAGATGTATCTTTGATCATTTGAATTTCATCAATTACAGCCACCTCATCTACGGAAACACAAAAAATACAAACCCCAATTAGAACAAATTCTTCTTATGAGACGTTTAAAATGCGACAAAGATGAAAAAAGGCATGAAAATCAAACAAAAAATCTCTGCAGCTGACTTCAAAAATTTAACATCAACCGTACTGATGTTGTTAAAAATGAGTTAGTGATGCTTGAAATCGTCATCAGCAACTCTACTGTACAGAAAACACAGGGATAAAATAAGGGAAAAATATAAAATTACTAAACAATTTTTCAGTTTACTTCCATAAAATCTTTAAATTAAAAATAAGTTGATGTAATGAGTAACATTAATAAGAAATAAATGTTAACTTCCTTTTTATAACAAGTAAAAGTGCAGATTTCACTTCAGCTTAAATACTGAAGACCCACTGACAATATCAGGGTTTCTCCAAGAAAAGAGACTAAGCCCGGTGGTGGGTGGCGCCAGGCTTGCTGCCTGGCCGCCCAGCCCGCCCACCAGCGATTCATTAAAAAAAAAAGATTAAAGTTTACAGGAAAGTTGAAATATGACTATTTATTATGTGATATTGCACAAATATTTGCACAACTACAGTCTTACAAAAAGGCACACTTTTGAAACCAACTAGAAATACAATCAAAATAAGAACAAATTGTTTGCACTTTGAAACACAAATTAAGTGTAAACAAAGCACCAACCCACGTCTCACATCAAAGCCACTAAATAAAACTAAAAATAAAAAAATAAGAGAGAGGCTCTACTGTATTGAGCTTTGATCTTTAATTTTTGTGGCACAGGCTGCATGTTGGATCACTGCACATGATGTTATTATGTAATTAAACCAAGTATTACAAAGATCTGTTACCTCTGAAATAGTTTATTTTGCTGCATTTAATCATGAATACAACATACAGAACCCTATAAAAGTAGTTATAATTCAACAATATCAAAAACAAAAAGAACACATTATGCCTCATATTTGACACAAATATTATTTTGACATCTCTGACGTGCCATTTTTTAAACCAATTTTATTTTCACTTTCATAGTTCTRTCTTCAAYTGCTTGTAGTTTTAACTTTCTTGAGTGTGCATAGAAATGGTTTATACCACCTTGTAGCCAAGATTCTAATGTTTCTGTAGATACCAAACATGYCTATGTCTAGCTAAAAGAACTTAGATTAATTAAAGTAGAAAACCGGGGGGTTTGAGCTTAAGAGATGAATGAACCAATTGGCGGGCCGAACTTTGGTCACTCGCGGGCTGAATTTGGCCTGCAGGTCGCCAGTTGAACAGCCCTGCCATAAACCTTCATAATCATCAGAGGCGGACCCGAGCCGTGCAGACCCACTTGTGAAAGCAACCCGCGGATCCACGCTCAGAATAAGCGACCACAAGATTAATCACCAAGCACAAGGGAATATTAAAAATGACACGAAACAGCAACTTGTTTCTTTCTTTTTTTCCTCTCATAAAAGCGGAGCTGCGGAGGGGCTGTGTGGTGTGTGTGTGTGTGTGCGCGCACGAGCGCTTGAAACGTCAGTGCAGCTGCAGATTACTGAGGGAATATTAAAAATGACATGAAACAGCAACTTGTAAAAGTTAGTTTTGTTGTTGTGTTTTTTTTTATATTTAACCGCCACAGAATCACTTAAGTGAGCTAATTCAGTTGTTTTGTTTTATACGAGGCAGCAGACGTCTGTCCCATAATAAATATGTCGCGGTCCAGCTCAGCGGAGTTCTGCTCCACGCGCTGCAGGTTCATTTATGAACACGTTTATGTGAGAGGGACCTGCCCGCCTTCACCCGTGGTCTTATGAATGACCCGGGGAGGCTTAAAGCCGGACTGGTCTGTGCGGCAATTGCACGGATTTGACWTATTAAAGAGGCTACCATCACCGTGTATAAAAATGACATAATTTAAAACAAACAAGCAGCACTTAGCCTGGCGGCGGGGGCAGCAAAGCATGGCGGTCTGCTAGGCCTACATTACACTGGGGGAAACACTGAATATCCACCACCATTGTGGTTTAGACCAGCGCCTTTGATGAGTTACTCTTTTTAAAACTAATAGTGATGATGATCAACATCMTTTTGAAAACAAAACRAGTTTTATTGAATCTAATTTAGTTTATCTTATCTAAACCTGAGTTAAACTAATCTGAGTGAACAATAATCCTGTCGGTGTTGCAAAACACCAAGAAATCTAGATCAAATAAAATGATTTTGCTTGTTTACAAACGCTAATTCATGTGCAGAAAAACGATTCTTGGATTATATCTACAGTTCAAYTCATGAACAGCAAGAAACTACAAAATGAATGCAAGATATTTATTCAACAGCAGCAGCAGCATACAGTGTATGTTACGCCTACTCACAGGGTGTGGTGACATTGCACATCTCAATGGTGCATGCCACATGTCCAGCTGCTCGACCCTCTGGGTCTACAATGGTCCTTTCTTCTCCAGTAACCAAGTCACATGGTACACCCTGCGAGACCAAACATAAARATGAGACATGAGAGGAGATAACTTCTGGRRAAAAAAATGCTGAGATAWCAGTATTTTTTCTCTTCCTGCAGGTTGCTCCTTTTGTCATTTCAGAGTTCGTACTCCCTCCCTTTGTTGACTCGTTTAAAAACTCTGATGACAAACAGAAAACTCACGGCACTGTTGCTCGTCTCAAAGATCTCATGGGCCAGCAGTTTCAGGGGGCCACAGTAGACACCAGATTTGGCTCCGAGGTAGCGTTGGATGGCATGATAGGTTTTTCCACTGTTGGTGGGTCCAGCATGGAAGATCACTTTCCGTTGGATGGCTCGAGCCTCAGGGTACCTGAAGTTCACACAAACACTTAGAAAAACTGCAAATAATAATATATACAGGCAGTGGATGCATTAGCCACAGAGCTAACCAAGATGTGATAATTRTTAAACGAGGTCTGATCCTGTCATATATACCAGTTTGCTGGGACTCTGAGGTCTGAGATCTTTCTCAGCTCATCCATGCAGTCTAGCATAGGAAAGACTTGTCTGGCATGACGTAGGAAATATGGGAAGATGTCGTCAACRTGCCCTGGAGAAGAGCAAATATTTCAAGCATTAAAAAAATTACTAAAATAAATGAACAGAAACTAGAGGGGGAAAACAAACAAACAAAACAAAAATCAGTCATACCTGCACCATAGGTGATGTCATTCAGAATAATGTGCAAATCAGCAGGCAGTGATGTCATTTCCAGAACAAACTTCCTGAAGCTGACGAAAGCTTGGTGGAACAGACGAGCTATGTGGCCACAAAGAAGAAACAAAATCAAGGAAGTCTATAAAAATCAACATAAAATGCTGTAGAAAACAAACCAGGTAAATCTTTGACAGTCTTGTAATAGGTTATGTTAATATCAGAATCAAAATATTTTGATGCATTTCAATAATCCAAGTCAAAAAGTTAAGTTAGGTCCTCTGGATGGGTTATTTTTTGTTGAAACATTTCCTCTAGAGAGACTTCTTCAGGCTGATGAGTTTCAGGTAAGCTCAGTACCTTTGCAGATAAGCAGTACCAAACAAAGACCAGTGGTCATTCTGTATGTTGTGGGAGTTTTAGAGTGAAAATATTTTTATTTTCTACGGCAAAGACTTGTTCACCTCAAAGATCCACCTTCCTGGCACAAACAGAGTAATGTTGTGCAGTGATGCTAAGTGCCAAGAGGACTGTGACCAGTTTTACATCGTGTAAACAAATAAGCCACTGTTCAAATGGATGGTCCAACACAGAAGAGCAACATCATCAGACCAGGACTCTGCGGTTTACACTCAACTACAGGCCAGCGGTCTTTCGTTGGTTTCGAAAGTAGTAAWGGAAGGCTTTAGGCTGATGGTCCTCTTTTGTATGAGAACAAGTTTCAATTGTCATCGTTGAACAGTTGCAAGATTTGTAAGAGTTTAAGCCATCTATATGAATCCCTTAAAGGCACAGCGTGTAGGATTTTGTCAATTCTTTTAGCCGAAATTGAGACAATCACTAATGACAATACTAAAAAAAACATGTCTAATCATTGCAGACAAAGACCTTGTTTTATTATTTTTAYCTTATAAAAAGCTGTTTATATCTCCATGGTCGCGGGTCGCCACTACAGGCAGCTGCCATCTCGCACCGCCATCTTGTCTACGAAGGCTCATGAAGGACAAACTGCGATGGTGGCGTCAAACTAGCCCTGAAGCTGCTGGTAGACATCGCGGTTTGAATTATCAATGGTTTTTGACACCTGAGAGACACCGCAGCAACTCCTTTGCATTTGGAAGTGGGGGGTGGGGGTGGGGGGAGGACCAGGGAGGATGATTCAACCAATCAACCACTAGATGTCGCTGAAAACAACAAGTCCTACACACTGTGCCTTTAACAATCTGTCCGTTTCTTTTCTTACCATCTAGACCATGCTCTGCTGCCAGCCTCTGTGTCTCCTTTTTTTTGTAAAACCGGTTCAGATATTTAAGCAGCTCGCCTTGAATCAGAGAAACAAAAAGCAGAGATGAACAGAAATTAGATGGTGTGAATTCACAACATGTGAGTCTATGACATAAATAAAATTATCATATCATCTATTATCYCTGAATAGCACCACCAAAATATACTCACTTTTATTAAGCGGCTGAGTCAGTTCTGCTCCTACACTCCCATCATCCAAGTCGTCGGTTTTAAGGGMGACGGGGACAAAGAGCGATGTGTCCGGAGGCTTTGAATTTGTGTTATTAGAAGAAACATCTCTACGGAGAACCACAGAACCAGTCTGATACTGCTGGAGTAACGAACTAGAGCCTGAAGAAACACGAAAGCTACACGCTGTGACGCATCTCGTCCGGCTGTTAAAGTGGCGTTGAAGCCGGGAAAACAAATGCACGCAACGATTTACCGACATCACGGCAGGCGGTTTAATTAAACAGAATATARCAGCTTTTTAGGACTTCACAGAAATAAATACGTTTTTCACTCCATAATATCAGACACATTTAAGAGTATTACATCAACTCTGGCAGAGGACGGTCAACAATTTCTTTTCCTGCTTAACACAACGTGCAGCGRGATCCATCTGCCCACATATCTGCCTGCATTAAAACCAAACAGAAAAGGCTTATTCAATATTTGTTAATAATTATGTCTTCATACCACAAGGTTATCTATAACATAATAAAAACTTATCACACGGAAAAGGTGTTTTTTTTTTTAAATGTGAAAAACCTCAAGTAATTTTAAACAGGCATAAAAAAGACAGCTTCAACGCTAAAATCTTTTCTTCTTCTTCTTCTTCTATTGGTTTTTATTTGACGGTTGTCAAACAACTTAGATGCATTACCGCCATCCTCTGAATTGGAGCATGGATCAGAATCTAATTCCTATCTTTAAAGTATCATACATACATGTATATATAGCTAAACATAA